TCAGTAAAGGAACAAAAGAAATGATTGCACTGGGTATGTGGTTTTCCCCCCCGCGCAGATTGTAGTCCCCCAGCCAGTTTGTAGAACTTGTGGAAGATAAATATTGTTTAATTATATTTATTGTTTAACTATATTGAATTTTGTTTGCTAGCAGGAGCAGTATTTCAGTAATTGAGTATTTGATCAGACTGTGGGAGGACGCAGGGTGTGGGGGGAACCCTTTGTGACCTTCTCAAACCAAGTTTTCTTTTTCAAAAATAGTAATTAAGAGATTGATCAGTTTGAGGGAGTCGCCTTTTTTACTCGTCGAATGTTTTCCGTGTTTTTACCCAGTGTTTTTCATTTCCTACACGTATCTTGCCCAAAAATTGCACGGAATGAATACCCTTTGCACCATAATTCCTCCAATTTTGCCATTTCTGCCTACTCTACTTGCTAACCTGCTACTACGCCATGTGGGTCAATAGTTCAAAATCCAGCCGGCCACATGAAAATGACCGAGCTGCAGTAAGCAGATTTCATAGAATCTGCTTACTGGGGGTGTATCTCGCAATGTCATGATTCTAATGTTGGCTCTGGGCTAATCACCTCCACCCCCATCAGTAAAGGAACAAAAGCAATAATTGCACTGGGTATGTGGTTTTCCCCACCGCGCAGATTGTAGTCCCCCAGCCAGTTTGTAGAACTTGTGGAAGATAAATATTGTTTATTGATATTTATTGTTTAACTATATTGAATTTTGTTTTCTAGCAGGAGCAGTATTTCAGTATTTGATCAGACTGTGGGAGGACGCAGGGTGTGGGGGGGGAACACTTTGTGACCTTCTCAAACCAGGTTTTCTTTTTCAAAAATAGTAATTAAGAGATTGATCAGTTTGAGGGACTCGCCTTTTTTACTGGTCGAATGTTTTTCCGTGTTTTTTACCCAGTGCTTTTCATTTCGTACACGTATCTTGCCCAAAAATTGCACGGAATGAATACCCTTTGCACCAAAATTCCTCCAATTTTGTCATTTCTGCCTGCTCTACTTGCTAACCTGCTACTACGCCATGTGGGTCAGTAGTTCAAAATCCAGCCAGCCACATGAAAATGACCGAGCTGCAGTAAGCAGATTTCATAGAATCTGCTTACTGGGGGTGCATCCCGCAATGTCATGATTCTAATGTTGGCTCTGGGCTAATCACCTCCACCCCCATCAGTAAAGGAACAAAAGAAATGATTGCACTGGGTATGTGGTTTTTCCCCCCGCGCAGATTGTAGTTCCCCAACCAGTTTGTAGAACTTGTGGAAGATAAATACTGTTTAACTATATTTATTGTTTAACTATATTGAATTTTGTTTTCTAGCAGGAGCAGTATTTCAGTATTTGATCAGACTGTGGGAGGACGCAGGGGGGGACCCCTTTGTGACCTTCTCAAACCAGGTTTTCTTTCTCAAAAATAGTAATTAAGAGATTGATCAGTTTGAGGGACTCGCCTTTTTTACTGGTCGAATGTCTTTCTGTGTTTTTACCCAGTGTTTTTCATTTCGTACACGTATCTTGCCCAAAAATTGCACGGAATGAATACCCCTTGCACCATAATTCCTCCAATTTTGTCATTTCTGCCTACTCTACTCTACTTGCTAACCTGCTACTACGCCATGTGGGTCAGTAGTTCAAAATCCAGCCAGCCACATGAAAATGACCGAGCTGCAGTAAGCAGATTTCATAGAATCTGCTTACTGGGGGTGCATCTCGCAATGTCATGATTCTAATCTTGGCTCTGGGCTAATCACCTCCACCCCCATCAGTAAAGGAAACAGCCAATTTAATTGCACTGGGTATGTGGTTTTTCCTCCCCCCAAAGAGCTGCAGCAAGCCAAATTTATAGAATTTGCTTACTGGGGGTGCATGTCGCAATGTCATCATTCCAATGTTGGCCCTGGGCTAATTTGTTTTTCCTCCAGCCACAGAGTATCGCCCCCCAACCAGTTTGTAAAACTCGTGGAAGTTTAATTTCTCTTGGATATAATATATATAATCCCTTTTGATCAGACTGTGGGAGAATGCAGGGCGTGGAGGGAACCACCTTCTTAAAAAAAAGTAACAGTTTGTCACTTGTGCCTTCTATGCCTGCCAACCTGCAAAATATGCCATGTGGGTCTGCTCAATGCACACAGGATCACCAGGTATGGATCCAGAATATCATTGCCCTGCAGGAACCGAGGTAAACATGTCCTTTCGTGAAAAAAAGATCTTTCCAGTGCTCCATCACGGCCAGGTTTGACTTGGGACCCCGGGACACCCCCCAGTAAGCAGATTTCCTTTTCGGGTGTTAGGGGGGGCAGTAAGCAGAAATACATTTCAGTGCCGGTTACTGTGAACCCCCAATGTTGGGATCTGCTAACCACCGGGCGTGGCCGAACGTCTGCTTACTGGCCGACAATGACTATATATATATAGATAGATAGATAGATAGATACATAGAAGATAGATAGGTAGGTAGGTAGGTAGATAGTCAGAGAAAGAGAGAGAAAGAGAGGAGACATCAATCACCTTTCGATCCATCAGTGGATTCGCTCTGCCATCCCTGATTCACAACAACCAACCTTTCCTATAGGTTTCCTATTTTTGAAACTTCCGCCACCGCCTTGTGCGGTACTACTGGTAGGCACTAATAAGCAAGCACTAATAAGCACTGATAGCCTCTAGGGCCATAGCTGGGAGGTGGGATTGAGCTGGCTAGCTCCCTCTAAGCACAACCACAGCATTGGGGGGCTGGGGGGCCTGGGGGGCTGGGCTGGTGGATTGGAGTGGTGGTGGTTGGAAGGGTGCTGAGCTGGAAGTGGGGAAGATGGTTGGGCTGGTGGAGTGGGCTGGGAGGCGGGTAGGAATTCATAATGTTAAGGTGAAGCAAATTTTGTATCTCATTTGACCATTTTTGTTTTATGTTTTTTTTCCTGCAGCTTCGCTTCTAAATCTGGTAAAATATAAACATAAATGGCATTTACGTTTAGGATCGTGCATAATTTTTTCATTTTTTGAGACAATTTTATTTGAACGCCTTAATAAGCATTATTTTTACTATGCTGAAAACCCTAAAACCCCCTTATTTGAACCTCAAACCTTTTTCAAAAATCAGCATACCTTATTCTTACCTACTTGAACCTAATAACAGCTAACAAGCTTCCACACTAATAGCTTCTAATAGCAGCTGTTAACAGCTACTAGCAACCAATAAGTAGCAAAATCAATACCGCAAAAAAAACATACACTGGGGGGTGGCTCGACTGGGTGGTGGCCTGATAACTCATGATACCTGCGTTTGGCGTTTGCAAGCGTGGCACTTGTTGCACTTGGCTGGCTCTCGTGGCGCGCTTGGTCGCCGATGAAGGTCGTTGGTCGCCCCGGGCACCGCGCCACCTTGCGTGGCAGGCGTGGCACTTGGCGACATCCACCTTCGTTTCACACGCTTGGAGACATCTACCTGCGTTTGGCGTGGCAGACGTGGCGCTTGACAACATCTAGTTGCATTTGGCGTGGCAGGCGTGGCGCTTGTTGCAGTTGGCTGGCTCTGGTGCCTCCTTGGTCTTTCCTTCCTTCGCCGTCCCGCTACAACATTTGTTGCTCATTATTGGAAGAAGTTGTCTTGTGGGGTTATCCGGTTCTTTAATTATTTACGACTTTTCTGACTATACTTTTATCGACTTCTCTTAACGTTTTACCAGCATTGTACCACACAAGGCAGTGGCGGAAGTTTCAAAGATAGGAAACCATAGGAAACCTATATATAGGAGAGATTGGTTGTTGTGAATTGTGGATGGCAGGGCGAACCGACCGATGGATCGAAAGGCGGTTTGCACCACAACGATGTGCATCTTTCCGACATGTTAAGTTTAAAAAGTCGTCCGAGACTGTCAGGTTCCAGCCTTGCGAGCACTTTTGTTCACATCTGGAGTTCAAAAGTGGTCCGAGGCCGTCACATTTTAACACTTTTTGAGTTGCGAACATGCTTCGCGCCACAACGGCATGCATTTTTTCCGCATCTGGAATTCAAAAAGTGGTCCAAGACCGTCAGCTTTTAGCATTTTTACACCTTTTTACTTGCGAACATGCTTCGCGCCACAACGCCGTGCACTTTTTCGACATCTCAACTTCCAAAAGCGTTGCGAGACCGTCAGTTTAACGCTTTTGACTTGCGAATGTGCTTCGCACCACAACGGCAAAGTGTTCCGAGCATGGTGTGATTTTGAGTTCGAAATGCGCTTCGTGCCACAGCCACGCGCACTTTTGCCACTCTCAGCTTCCAAAGTGCTCTGGAATTTTCCCTTCCAAACGTGCTTCGGGCCACAACGGCGTGCATTGTTTTAGCATTTCAACTTTCACAAATGCCCCGAACCCGCGGTATTTTTAGCGTTTTGACTTCGAAATGTGCTTTGCGCCACAACGGCGTGCAATTTTTCATCTCTCATCTTCCTAGGTGGCTCCGCACCCGCTGCTTTAGCATGCCTACTTTTGACCCTCCGGAACCGCAAAACATCGGAAAAAGCATAGTGTTTCGCGACTTTTCCGCCTTCTCGCGCGCCTGCATCTTCTTTCTTCTGATTCCTTCTCTTCTCTGATCTTCTTTCTTCTTCCTTGCTCTTCTCTGCCTCTTCCCGCCTCTGCTTTTCCATTTGTCCATAAGTCGGAAGTTTGACTTCTAAACTTCCTTCGGTGATTTTGATATGGTTTTGATATGGTTTGATTCGATTTTGACGCGGTTTTGATGTGATTCTGATATGATTCTGATATGTTTTCAAGTCATTTTCACATTTTTGGGCCATTTCAAATCATCACTGAACCCATATCAAAATCATAGCTGCAGAACCAGGCCGCGAACAAATCATAGCAACAAATCATACCTGAACCACATCAAAGTCATACAAACATGAAAAGCCATGAAAAGCTTCCACCCTATACTGATGTCATAACAGTTCATTCCTGGCTAATCGTATCCAACATGGTACAGTTCCAGCTGAGGCGATCATCGGGATGTTCTTCCAAGATGGATTGACCGGTTCTGCTTGGGGCGATTGGAGCCTGTACACTACCTCCCCTCTCCGTGCTGGCAGGGAACCTAGAATTGCCCGGAACTTCTTCGGGGGAGACTCCACTAGCTATGCCAGCTTCGACCCTGCGAAGGAACTTGGTGTGCAGGATCCCATCGGATTTTGGGACCCGCTTGGCTTGAGCGCGGACAAGGATGAGGCAACCTTCAAGCGCCGTCGTGCTGTGGAGATCAAGCACGGCCGCATCGTCTGGATCTAAGTTGGATTTGCACTGTGGATCTCTTTTCAAATAAATTTAGATGAGAAACTTCCGAACCACGAGCAAGTGTCGCTGGACAACTTCAGTTCACCAGCTCAACCAACCTAATGCAATGTGATTCAATGAGGCGGTACCATTGGATGGATGGCCAGTTGGCGCAACTATATATCAGCCAGCAAGATCGCATAACACTGGTGCGTGCGTGCATGCTTTATAGGGGCTGGGTTAAAGCAAGGAAAGCGGGTGAACCATTGTAGTTTTTTGTGGCTTTCGAAGGCTAAGGGGGGCAGGTTTGCGCGGCCTCGGTCTGGAAGAGCTGTCCACTGTAACATGAGCGCCCGCTTTTCAAACAAGACGCGCAAAAATTGGGATCCGAATCCGGGATCAATTTTGGAAGATGAAGTTCGGAGATTGTGGCCATTAGGATGTCGGCGCACCTTTGGATGATGAGGCCGGGGAAAAGTAGGAAAGAAATACGCACAAAGCACCGTAACCAGGATTTGGTGCGGCCAAAAGGGCTGCAACCAGTGCTTGCCGAACGCGATGGAACGGCTGCGCCGAGGAAAGTTATAGGTCGTGAAGTCACCGGCTTGTGTAAAGCCGACTTGGAACAACGTGCCTTAGTGAGATTGAAATACCAAGCATGGCGCGACCTACGGGCCATGCAGGAATGCAACTGCACGGGGGTTGGTAAACGTGCTGGAACCGATGCGTGCGAGGGATAATTTCAGATATGGCGCAGCCCTTCTGCGGTTCGGGTGCAGGACTGGAACCGGATGCTGCGAAGGCATTCTGACAGCTGGCCGACGCATAGTTGTAGCATGGTGCTGCCCGTGCTCTTTGCTGGAATGAATTTGGACAGTGCTACACTCACATATGCATAGACGCAAGCAAAAACACACACACAGCACGCATAGACATACCCGTACACATACAGATCGACGGACGGAGAGACCGACTTGCAGACAGACAGCCAGGCAGGCAGACAGACAGACATACACACATAGGCACCTACACACACAGACAGATACACAGATACACGCATAATGTAGGTTACAGATTAGTGTGGGGAGGCCCCCCCCCAAACAAATTTTGGATACAGAATAGTGTAAAAAAAACCAAAGTAGAAGGTACAGAATAGTGTAAAATAAAAAATAGATTTAAATTGATTTCAATTTACTTTCAACTGATTTGAATTTATTTTGAATTGATTTCAATTTACTTTCAATTGATTTGAATTTATTTTGAATTGATTTCAATTTACTTTCAATTGATTTGAATTTATTTTGAATTGATTTCAATTTACTTTCAATTGATTTCAATTTACTTTCAATTGATTTCAATTTACTTTCAATTGATTTCAATTTACTTTCAATTGATTTCAATTTACTTTCAATTGATTTCAATTTACTTTCAATTGATTTCAATTTACCTTCAATTGATTTCAATTTACTTTCAATTGATTTCAATTTACTTTCAATTGATTTCAATTTATTTTGAATTGATTTCTTTGAATTGATTTCAATTTACTTTCAATTGATTTCAATTGATTTCAATTTATTTTGAATTGATTTCAATTTACTTTCAATTGATTTCAATTTACTTTCAATTGATTTCAATTTACTTTCAATTGATTTCAATTTACTTTCAATTGATTTCAATTTACTTTCAATTGATTTCAATTTACTTTCAATTGAATTTATTTTGAATTGATTTCAATTTACTTTCAATTGATTTCAATTTACTTTCAATTGATTTCAATTTACTTTCAATTGATTTCAATTTATTTTGAATTGATTTGAAGTTACTTTGAATTGATTTAAATTTACTTTCAATTGATTTCAATTTATTTTGAATTGATTTGAAGTTACTTTGAATTGATTTCAATTTACTTTCAATTGATTTCAATTTATTTTGAATTGATTTGAAGTTACTTTGAATTGATTTCAATTTACTTTCAATTGATTTCAATTTATTTTGAAAGTTACTCTGATTTCAATTTACTTTCAATTGATTTCAATTTACTTTCAATTGATTTGAAGTTACTTTCAATTGATTTCAATTTACTTTGAATTGATTTCAATTTACGTTGAATTGATTGCAATTTACTTTCAATTGATTTCAATTGATTTCAATTGATTTCAATTTTCTTTCAATTGATTTCAATTTACTTTGAATTGATTTCAGTTTACTTTGAATTGACTTCAATTTGATTTCAATTGATTTCAATTTACTGTCAATTTACTTTCAATCGACATCCCATAGAAACCCAATAGTAGTCCCAAAGAAATATCATAGAAATACCATGCAAATCCCATAGGAATCCCACAGAAATCCCATAGAAAGATCATAGAAATAACATGGAATAGCATAGGAACCACAAAGAAATCCCATGAGAATTCCAATAATAATCCCATAGAAATATCATAGAAACATCATGGAAATACCTTGGAAATCCCACAGGAATCCAATTGAAATTCCATAGGAATCCAATAGAAATACCATAGAAACCCCATAGGAATCCAATGGAAATCCCATAAGAATACCATAGAACTCCCATAGCATCCCTTCAGAAATCCCATAGAAATCCTCCAGAAATATCATAGAAACATCATGGAAATCCCATAGGAATTCCATAGAAATCCAATAGCAATACCATAAAAATACCATAAAAGAAAAAAAATAGCAAAGGAAAAGGTAAAGGAAATGATTGCAAAAAAAAATCACCACAGGAAGCAGCAGGACACAATAGTGTACCCCCAAACAAACCACACTATTGTGTATCAGGGTTGCTCATGGACTACCCCCTTGAAAAATTGTTTGAGTGATGTTTTTTAATTGGGTTTTAATAAGGTGTCATATATTTTGGGAAATTTGGCATTTCTGAGAATTTCAAATGAAAGAAACTAAGAAAGTAATTAAGTAATTAAAAGAAAAAACTTTAGCAAAGGAAAAGGTAAAGGAAATGATTGAAAAATTCAAAAAATCATGACCTCAGGAAGCAGCAGGACACAATAGTGTACCCTCAAACAAACCACACTATTGTGTATCAGGGTTGCTCATGGACTACCCCCTTGAAAAATTGTTTGAGTGATGTTTTTTAATTGGGTTTTAATAAGGTGTCATATATTTTGGGAAACTGGGCATTTCTGAGAATTTCAAATGAAAGAAACTAAGAAAGTAATTAAGTAATTAAAAGAAAAAACTTTAGCAAAGGAAAAGGTAAAGGAAATGATTGAAAAAATCAAAAAATCATGACCTCAGGAAGCAGCAGGACACAATAGTGTACCCTCAAACAAACCACACTATTGTGTATCAGGGTTGCTCATGGACTACCCCCTTGAAAAATTGTTTGGGTGATGTTTTTTAATTGGGTTTTAATAAGGTGTCATATATTTTGGGAAACTGGGCATTTCTGAGAACTTCAAATGAAAGAAACTAAGAAAGTAATTAAGTAATTAAAAGAAAAAACTTTAGCAAAGGAAAAGGTAAAGGAAATGATTGCAAAAAAAAAATCACCTCAGGAAGCAGCAGGGCACAATAGTGTACCCTCAAACAAACCACACTATTGTGTATCAGGGTTGCTCATGGACTACCCCCTTAAAAAATTGTTTGAGTGATGTCTTTTAATTGGGTTTTAAAAAGGCATCATATATTTTGGCAAACTGTGCGTTTCTGAGAACTTCAAATGAAAGAAACTAAGAAAGTAATTAAGTAATTAAAAGAAAAAACTTTAGCAAAGGAAAAGGTAAAGGAAATGATTGCCAAAAAAAAATCACCTCAGGAAGCAGCAGGGCACAATAGTGTACCCTCAAACAAACCACACTATTGTGTATCAGGGTTGCTCATGGACTACCCCCTTAAAAAATTGTTTGAGTGATGTCTTTTAATTGGGTTTTAAAAAGGCATCATATATTTTGGCAAACTGTGCATTTCTGAGAATTTCAAATGAAAGAAACTAAGAAAATAATTAAGTAATTAAAAGAAAAAAACTTTAGCAAAGGAAAAGGTAAAGGAAATGATTGCAAAAAAAACAAAATCACCTCAGGAAGCAGCAGGACACAATAGTGTACCCTCCAAAGAAACCACACTATTGTGTACCTGGATGTAATTTTCTGTGGAAGGCATCTGGAAAATTTCAATGATGGAAAATAAAAAGTAAAAGAAAAAAGCTTTAAAACATGAAAAAAATGAAAAATGTTTGAACAACAAAAAAAGACCAAGACACAATTGTGTATCCTGACACAATGACACAATTGTGTATCCTGACGCAATTTTAAAAAATAATAAAAAATATATATAATTAAAAATAAAAATAATTAAATTAAAAATTATTATAATTAAAAATAAAAATAAAAAATAATTTAAAATAAAATAAAAAATAATTAACTTAAAAATTATTATTATTAATTAAAAATAAAATTAAAAAAATAATTTAAAATAAAATAAAAAATAATTAAAATTATTATAATTAAAAATAAAAATAAAAAAATATTTTAAAATTTTAAAATAAAATAAAAAACAATTAAAAACTAAAAACAAAAAAAATGAAAAAAAAACTTACACCAAAATCCTGTGGACACAAAACTGTACCCCTCGATCATTTCCAGAGTTACACAATAATTTTGAGGTCTGTGGACACAATAGTGTATCCCCACACTAATCTGTATCCCACATTACACACATACATGTACCCAAGCACATGCGCGCATGCACACACGCATGCACAAATTTGCAGGAGAAGGTGCAGACGCGCAGTGCGCACCGTATAATTCGCTCGTTTGTTCCTTCATTTGCTCAGTCATTCATATTGGTCCATGGGTGAGTGATCAATGACTGAACGAATGAACGAAGCAACAAACGAATAAACGAATGATTGGTTCAGTCAGCCAGCAAGCCAGGCAGTCAGTCATTCATTGGTTCATTCATTCGTTTGTTAATTTATTTTTCGGGGCCAAATGGGATCGTCCAGTCAGATATCAGGGAGA